CACTGGTTTTTGAAATAGTTTTAGATGACTGAATTGCCTACTATGTATATGAATATCCAGTGTTATTGTTGTTCTGAATTACTTTGCTGTATATTATTCCATCAAATTCCCTTCACTTTGTAAAAAATGGCTGCCTTTCATCCTTTCTTACGCTATATAACACTCCATGGAGTGTTTATACCACATCTTCTTGGTCTAGGGGTTCACTGGTGGACATTTTGGCTGCTTCCACATCCTAACTATTCTAAATGATGTTGCTACGGAACACGCAACTGTGGAACATGTGGGGGGTTTTGTTGATGTTTTGCATTCTGTGGATATATGTGCAAGAGAGGTATTGTGGGGCCCCTGAGTAGTCCCGTTCTGGAGCCATATTTTATGGTACCAGAGACCAATGCTGGCACAGTGTAAGAAGAGACCATACAAAGGAGGGATGCCAGGAAGCAGGGCAGCCATTTTGCAGGCTGGCTATCCCAGAAGTACAATAAATGCATCCACTAGATTAGCAGCATGTTACAGCTCTGAGCTAGATGTGGCTGTATTTCAGTTGCATGAACCGGAAACCGGAGTATTTTTGGGTGCTCTGACCCTCTTCTCCTTCACCCTAAGATCTGAAGGGCCCTTCACTCCTCTCTTCAGAATGATCCACTGGACCCACAGGAGATCAAACACAAGTGGAGGTGGGGTTTGGGAAGGCTAGTAAAGGGGTAAAAGAGACCAAGAACTGTTGGGAAGGACAAAGGACGGGTCCTTTCTAACCTGAAGGTGACCAGTGAGTCTTGAAAATCAAAGACTGCCAGCAGACTGTTCAAAAGGACAAGTTCAGAGTGGTGATTTCAGCACAAATCTCCCTCACCCTTGGGCCTTTGTGTGGACTTTAAGTTTGAAGGTGAGCGGCTCTGGGAGTCAGGGAGAGACTCCAGTCCAAGACGCTAGGGTGAGAGGGGAGAGCAGCAGCTCCCACTATCCCATCCTCACTCCCTATCTGGGACCTTTTGCCTGCTCTGATAGCCAAGGTGAGGGCTATACTGTCTCAAAAGCTCCGGTAGCAGCCACTTATCTTTGGTAGAAATGAGATGTGGGAAGGGTGTTAGGGCCACGGGCAGTGATGCGTCACCCTTAATGCAGAGTACAAGGCTTCGTTTCCACTTAAGAGAATTTCAATCAAAAGCAGAGGTAGGAGGTACCAAAAGTGAAAATAGCTAACTTTTGTCAGGGGGCCCTCTATTCCTGGTATTCTGCTGAGTGATTTTCCAAAGAATCTTCACAAAATCCCTAAGAGGGAGGAAGTATTCTTGGTATTGCATGTCGAACCAATAGACGCAACTCATCAGTAAAAGTGAGTGGCTTGTAGCTGTCACCCACATTGTTAATAAGAGGTACAGTTGGAATCCAGGGTCTGCTCATCTGGCCTGTGTGTGACTCCCTCCTGATTTGGGTCCTGCTTTAGGTTCACCGAGAGCCTCTGAGGCAAGTGCTTTACTGTGAACCCAGTGTGCTGGCCGAACTGGTGACGCTCTGCGTAGGCACTGCCCATGGGGGACAGAACAGAGGCTCCAAGGCTCCCCTTCTTGCAAGTGAGGGAAGAGGGAATGAGGGAATTTGACAGGGTGAGGAGTGAGGGAAGAGGGAAGAGGGAATTTGACAGGGTGAGGAGGGTGGGAGGATCTCCCTCAGCTTGGTGGAAGGCCAGGCCGCCCTTGAGAAGACGGATGCCCTTGTTCTTGCTGAAAGGGTCACATGGCAGATGAATTTATCTCACATCCTGGACACTGAAATGGCCTCTGGTGGGGTCAGTGTGGATAGCAGGTCCCCACAGAGCTGGCGCAGGGATGCCTTGTTGGCTGAGATCTAGGATCTGTGGGTGCTGGCTCTGGGCCCTCAACCAAGGCTTCAAACACTTTGGCTATCATCTTTGTTTCTTTCTGCCCTTCCCCTTCCAAGCAAACCCAAATTGGCTTCATCAGGTCCTTCACGGAGCCCAACAGCCCCCCCCACACCCCCAGACTTGACCCTTTCACTTCCTGTTTTAGTTTTTGTGTCCCCATCCTCACCTGTCCATAATCAGGAACACAGCCCTGGGGTGGCTCCAGATTGGTCCCTGGGGAGCCTGATGGCCTAGGTGCCATCTTCACTGAGGGGCATGGTGGTGGGGGGATGTCCTTGGAGTTCCCCCAGAAAGCTGGGTGGGTGCTGGAGGTGGCCCCCCGCCCCCAGGCTGGACAAGGGCAGGCAGCCCCGGATGAGGAAGGAGAGCCTGTGGAAGGGCTGGGAGAGGGCTCAGAGGAGCAACCACTCCCCTCAGCTTCATCCCCTGGCTGCTTCCTGACCTTAGGGGACCCTTGTCCCAGATGTGGTTTTGCCTCTTGAGGGATAAGTATTGAGTGGGGGAAGGGATACTAGGATGTGCCGTGCTCCCAAAGGGTCCCCCATCTTGTCCTTGTGCTTTAGTATAGGGGAATCTCCTGCTTCCACCTGGCTCCTTTTCCAATGTGCAGGTCTGAGCAGGTGGGGTGGGGCATGTGGGAGACTGAGCCAAGGGGAGAGTGGAGCATTAGGGAGGGATGCACACCTCTGCCACTCCTGCCTCCTTTGGGGGCCCTGACCAGAATGCAGACCTGAGTCCTTGAGCAGCCTGTGCTCCCCACTCAGAAGCACACCCCTGCCCTACATCCACTGTGGGCTACTCTCTTCTGAGCAGAAGGGTCAGACTGGCTAAAAGGTCGAGGGCTAAGATCTCTGGATTCAGGCTGGAAAGCCGCTGTGGGTCCTGGGCCTGGAGGAGTGGGGGCCAGGCGCTTGGCCACAGAAACACACCTTTGGATATTCGATCATCTCCTGGGGCTAAGACACTGTCAACAAAGCCAAAGGCAGCTTTGCCTGCTCCTAAAGGGTTTGGAGAGAGGGGACCCCAGGGGTCCATCTATCCTTTACCACTGTTACCTTCCTGCTTTTTCTTCTTGCTGGTGCCCATCGTGACTAGGTGACCAGCTCTTCCACCTAAGGATGAATGGAAGAGTCTTGGGGTCTTGTGAGGATGAGTTTGTGGATTGGGAGTATGTGTGTGTGTGTGTGCAATGGTGGTAATGGAATATTCAAGAAGTTTTATTAGATGGGATAACTGAACTTTGTGGGTCTGACGCTCATTTGAGCAGTTGCTTACAGAGGAAACAGCAATCCTGTCTCAAAGTTGTAGGTTGGGGGCAGCTAGGTGGGGGCTCCCCACTTCTTTGGAGATGCCTCTGGAACTGTTCCTCCTGTGGTTGTTCGTGTGTGGTTGTGAGGTCTCCAGACCTCTGTCTCGTGAAGGGCTTGGGTGGGTGTGGACTGTGAAGTCGGTGGAGTAAAGGTTCAGGTCACAGGAGTTTTGCAAGTCTGGCTGCTTTCTCTTGGACTTGACAGTGGCCATGTGGACTTTCAGGCCCTCAGGCAAGACTCCAGCAAGGTGGCTGGACTGACCCATAGAGCAGAGGACAAACCCACAGGGAGAGGCTCGGACATGCAGGTGAACTCCGAGTGGCTGGGACACTGGTCGACCTGGCTGCTAAGGCGAAGGGTGAATGCCCAGGCAGCACCCTGCTCTGTTGTGCTTTGCAAAGGCGCAAGGGAGGAAGCAGCAGCCCTTGGATGACTGATGGCTTTGCCCAGAGGAGGGCGCTCCACTCCCCACTCATCTGGGGGCCTCTGCAGAGAGGCTGGGCTGGGCGTAAACCAATCCATTTCCAGTTTGTTTTGCTTTTCCAAATGCTTTCCAGGCTGTATGGTAGGATCAGTGTAGTTGAGTTCTACTTGGCCAGAGCCCCAGTGACTCTTGAGGGTGTAGGGGGCCCAACCAATGCAGGAAGAGGGGTGGGGGTTCATCTAATGAGAATGGGCCAGGGACTTTCCAACAGTACCCCCCTCCCCTTCCTTCCCCAGCCAGGCTCTGTCCCCACCCACACTGAGGCTGCCTCTCTGTCTCTTGCTCCACAGGACTTTTATTCTGGAAGAAGCAGGCTCTGGAGTTAGGGAGGCTGAAACTGGCCCAGACCCTGACAGGACCTACCTTCTGGGCCATTTCCCAGGGTTGGAGGACCCTAATTGTGGGGTCTTGTTCATCTCTTCTCCAGCTGATCCTCTGGTCTTTAAGCAGAGGCTCCTCTAGCCAGGCCTGTCCATCTGCTCCCTGTCCTTGCTGAAACAACCCAAGGCTCCATCTTTCTATCCTTTGGCCTCTATCTGTTTTTCTTTCTCGTCTTTTTCTTGCCTTCTTGCTGCCTGTCCTTCTCAAGCAAACATGGAGTTCAGATCATTATCTAGAAGCTTCCAACCTGCCTCCAGCTATGGACAAAGATCTTTTCCCTCTTCCCCATGTGTAGGAGCATGTGTAAGATAACCAGGAAGAATGTTGCCCAAGTGGTCTGTGGGGGGTGCGGAAGGGGTAGGAAGGAAGATAGGGCCCAAGCCTGGACTTGATTCTGTTGAGCAGGTGAGGCTTTCTCATGAAAAAGGACAAAGAAATGGGCAGAAAGCAAAAGTGAATGACTGGATTAAAAAGATGTGGAACATACGCACAATGGAATATTACTCAGCAATCAAAAAAAGATAAATGCATGCCTTTTGCAGCAACATGGATGGAGCTGGAAAAGATCGTGCTTAGTGAAATAAGCCAGAAAGAAAAGGAAAAATACCGGATGGTTTCACTCATAGCAGGAGTATAACAGACCAGGTGAGAAAATAATAATAATAATGAACAGCCATATACCAGAGACATTTTGTGGGGGTGGAGTGGGGAATGGGATCAAAAACTGCAGGGGGAGGGAAATGCACTGGACTATGGTGATGGCACATGGGTTATTTGGTGATGGGAAGCCCACGGGGATTACAACTGAGATGGAAAAATGCACAAAACGATGTAAAAGTAAACTATTATATTATATAAAAAAAGAAAGAAAGAAAGAGAGAAATGGGCAGAAAGACTGCCTGTTGCTCCTGTTTACATTCTTGAACCCCAGCCACAGTTTCCCAAGGCCAAATAAAGTAAAGTCAAGCTGTATTATTCTCAAGGGTCCTTTCTCCTGGCCTGTTTTTTCATCCAGGAGAACAGACCTTGAGCTGGAGAGGAGGATGAAGGACTGAGGGAAAGCCTGGGGGCTGCAAGTTAACCGATTAACATTATCGGGGAGGGTGAGGAGGGATCCTGAGGGAGGCGAAGTGCCTGGGCAAGGGACTGCTGACTTGGGTCAACCTGGACTGGAAGGAGGGCCCCAGGCGGAGCCCTGGGCTGGTGCTGTCTGGAGGGACATTCGGTTCCTCTCCAGCTACTTGACCTTCCTGAAGACCTGCTCGCACACTGCATCCCTTGCGGTCAGCTCCTGCGGACAGAGTAGGAATGACAGGAAGAAAGACCGTTCTTGCAGCAGGAGCCCCACTGAATCTCCAGGATACATCAGCCCCAGGGTATGATGTATGGAGAATTGTCTCATTGTTCCAAAGCTCAACATTTCATGCCAGAGGAAGGAAGGTAGCTGGGTTAGGAGTGCCAATGGCGGCGTCTATCTCCCGCTCTGATTTATGATCTTTAGTCTGACTTGCAAGCAGGCTGGCCCTGGTTGCTCTATTTCTTTCTCTTCCTACTCTTCTCAGTGCTTTTGTCTTCCTTCCTTGGGCAGCTGGGGACGTGGGTGGGTTGGGAGGAGTAGAGTTCTTTGACTTGGGCACAGGGCTCACTCCTAGCTGGAGCCGCTCTCCCAGCCTTCACCCCACTTACCAGATACAACATCTCTCCCTCCAGCCAGTGTCTCCAGCCTCGGTTGGGGACCTCTCCTTTCTGCACACACACTAGCTGCTCCTCCTCCCAGGTCACGATGGTCTGTAGGGGAAAGCAGGTACAAAGGAAGAGTGGGGGCAGGAAACCCCAAATACATCCCATTCACACCTCCTGGACCCTCCTCCAACATTAGATACCACTTGCTCCAGCCCCTTTATTCTGAGGGAGGAGCTGCCTGACTCCACAGAACTTCCCTTCCCCACTCCCAGAGGCCACCAAGGTGGGCCCGCAGCTCATCGACAGTGACCAACGGGCCAGGGCAGAGATAGAGCAAGATGACCAGGGGGTCACCAGAGATGGGGGCAATGAAGAATGGACTTTGTTGATCTGGAGGGACCTCTGGGATAGACAGATTAGTCTCACCGGGGAATCTCTTTCCTACTTTTTCCTTTTAAGGACTGCTGAAGCATCCAAGAGAATGAAGGACCAAAGCCCAGGGAATCAGAGCCAGGTGGGCCTGAGCATGGTCATGGGTATTGATGAGCTCTCTCATGTGACAGTTCCTACTCCATATGGAGCTCAGGATCTCCAGGACCCTCAGACGCCTTGTGAAGCAGATGGACCTTACCCAGAATGTAGCTTGTCACTGAAAGTGTGACAAGGGAGGGACATGGTCGACCTCACTGTTCAGATAGATCCTTGTGGCTACAGTATGTAGACTAAATTAGCCACAATTCTGGGCACTAGCTGAGAAATGAGGGAGGGCCTAAGTTAAGTTGTAATGGTGAGGAAGGCCAGAAAGGAAGAGATGAGTGGCCACGAGGACAGCAATGTTCAGTAGAAATTTAATGGATCATAAATGCAAACCACATTTATAATTAAAAAATGCATAGTAGCCACATAAAAAAAAGTAAAAGGAAACAAATGAAGTTTAATTTTAATAATATATGTAACCTGGCATGGCAGACCTCTCCTGACCGGCCCGCCGTTCCCCTCAGCAGTGTATTTCAATAGCTCTGCCAGTTCTGCTCCCCACTCTGGCTCTTGTGAATCCTCTCACTCCCCTCACCTCTGGCCTGTACCCCAATTCTTACATGCATACATAAATAAATCTTTTAAAAAAATATGTAACCTAACATATCCAAACAACTATCATTTCAGCATGTGCTCAATACAAAACTTCTCAGATGTTTTATATTCTTGGTATTTTAAAGATTTTATATTTTGTGTATTTAAAAAATTCAGTATGTATTTTATAATGTTAGCACATCTTCATTTGGATTAGTCCTATTGCAAATGTTCAGTCTCTAGCTATGACTAGTACCTGCTACGTGGGACAGGATAGAAAGTTATAAAGATTTCAGTAAATTAAATGCAGTGTAGAAGATAGAAGCTTTCTGGGCAGATCAAGGCAGTGCTTGTCTGTGTGTGTATGTGCATGTTGGGGGCACACAGGTAAGGCGGGAACAAGACCCACTGACCATGACTGCCAGGTCACTGGTCCTGTCGGCTACTGCCCGATTGTTAATCGGGAGCCAGTGTAAAAAGCAGGAATCGATTTGGGTAGGAAGATAATGACTCTGGGTTTGGTATTAAGGCAGACAGATGGAAATATTGTGGAGGGAGTTGAAAACGTCACACTGAAGCCCAGGAGGTGACTTTGGCCGGGGAAGGCATGTCAAAGTAGTGGAAAGCAAGTAAGCAAATGATTTAACCTGTGGATGGTGTAGGGACAAGAGAGAGAATATCAAGAGCAAAATACTGGGGGAAACCCAGTTCAAGGGACTGCACAGTGGACCAAAGGAACACTTGAGAAGCAGGAAAAGGTGTTACAAAGGCTAAAGGAAGAGACTCTTCAGAGACCTGCAGGGTCACAGGCTAGAGGCTTTGCAAATGTTTGCCCATTGGCTTGAGGGTGACATGCTTTTTGGCCTTTGGGCTGGTGATAAGAGGGGCAGGGGTGAAGTGGGGGAGGAGTGCCAGGGGGGTACACTGGGATCTTGTTATCCTGGGAACCTTTGAGACTCTGGCCCTGGGTGGGCCAGGTCACGGTTTGCCTTAACTTGTGAAGCGGCACCTGCTCATTCACACCCCCAAGACCAAGCCCAGGAGAAGTACCTGGCATTTGCGTCCATCCACGATCCTCAGGTCCTCCTCAAACTCCACTCCCACCTCGAATTCCATTATGTAGTTGCGGAAGGTGCTGAGGGTCTTCACTGTGATGTGGCTGCCCTGCTGGTCAATCTCTTTGTCGGGCTTGAGCAGCAGTGCGATCTTTCGCAGAGCCACGTTGATGTCTGTGGGGGCTATCTCTTAGCAGGGGTGCAGACGGGGCACCTGGGGGCTGGACTATCCCTCCACTGGGACTGCAGATTTGCTTGCTCCTAGTAATGCCCCATTGGAAATGGGTCCCAAGTCAGGTGCCAGCACCCAAACCTCTCCAGCATCCAACCCCAGTCCCCCAGCCCCACTTCCCAATATTTCTGGAGCCCGGAGAGGAGAGGGAAGGAGGGAATGATTGAGAGGGGGCCTGGGGTGTGGGGGCCATTACTTAGGGCTTGTAGGTAGTCCTCCAAGTTCTTCTGTGAGACAAAGCGATAGAAGCCTGTGAGGTTGGGTGGCATTGTGCAAGCTAGCTGAGAAGAGGATCAAGATTCAGGAGAAGTATAAGCTGCAGGGTGAGGAGGAAGGGAGTGCTGGTGGCAGGTGAGGACAATGGAGACTCCCCACTGGGCCCCTTCGGAATAGGCTTGTGTAAATGGCTGTGCTCACCAGGGTTTTTATAGAACTGGGGCCCTTTTGCAATAAAAGTTCCTACCAACTTCCTCCCTCCCCCTTTCTACCCCATGATGAATCTGGGCTGGGTGTCAGCAGCCAGAGGGAGGGGCAAGGACTTGGCAAGGTTGTACATGGCCTTGGATTTTCCTGCGGAAGGAACCTGGAGCAGGCTCTGGGATGCCACTCAATCAAGACTTGAGTCTTTTTTAAGGTCAGTTTTGGACACAAGCCCATTTGGGGCAGACCAGGAATCCACCCCAGAGCCCTGAGGGGCAATCTGCCAGGGGAGAGGGCGCAGCTTACTGCACAGAGTAGGCTCACCTGAGATTCCCGGATGGAGTCCAGAGGCCTGAGTCAGGGGGAGTTGTTGGGGAGTGAAGGGGCAGCCAACTGGACAGGATTTGATAGGACGAAAAATCCATAATGCCCTCCACAGTTGCCTCTGACAGTTTCCAAGCTGAGTCCCCCCCCATTTCTGCCTTTGCAGAGTCCTACAGGGTCATTAGCAGGGAGGCAGGGAGCGCAAGAGGACTGTCAGGAGCCTGAAGAAGTGTTGAGTTCAAAGTTCCAGCTGAAGGGGAGGAGTTTGGTCAGCTGTTCAGGAGTACAGCCTACCCTGGCTTGGTATCCGGGGATTTGCCTCTCCCTAATCACTGATGATATCCTCACCTTGGACAACTAGATGTATCCTCACCTTTGGGGGAGGGCAGTGCTAGAGGATGGTCACCCCAAATGCATATATACACCAACCTCTCAAACTTACCAGTTTTCTTGGCTTGGGACAGGATGGGGTTGGTTCGTCATGGTTTAAGATGGGAAATTTGCAGGAGGGGGAGGCTAGGCAATGGGAAAAATTCCACCTGGTGGTGAATCGTCCACAGGTAAAGGTGTGTATTTTGCGCAAACATTTCACTCCTCCAGACCTAGAGCTCTTCCATGGCCTTGCTGAACTCCTAGGAGCCCCTCGATGGACTCTGAATGCTAGGTTCTCTGAGGTCCAGGGTGTGGGTTGACCTCAGGGTTGCCAGGAGGCAGCAGGGACTCGCTGCGAAAAGAGGTTAATGCAGAGTTGGGGTGTGTGTGTGACGCAAATGCTGCCCCTCCTCGCCTGCCTCCCTCGGGTCTCCGTTGACGTCTCCCTTCCCCAGCGCTAGGCTTCGGCTTCGCTAATCTCCCAATGTCCCTCTTTTATCCCACCCCCTCCACGGCTTTCCAGCTTCCTCCCCGGCCCCCGCAGTTCCCTTGCTCCCCCAAATTGCAGTCAGGGGGAAAAACTCTAACACATTCTCCGCCCCTGCTCCGGGTCCCATTGGTTCCCGCCCCCCCTGCGGCGCCTGGGCCCCCCGGCCCCCCGATTGGCCCGCGGCCCCGTCAGTCCTCGCCTGGCGGTGCTGACGTCATCCTGCAGTAGCGGGGATGGGGTGGGAATGAGCGAGTGAGGACGCGGGGCTGGGAGCCGACAGAAGCCGCCGCAAGTCCCCCGCTTCGGCCACCGGGGTTGGGGTCTGCTCAGGTCGCCGAATGGACTAGTGTGGGCCGTGGGCTCCTCTCTGTCTCCGGCTGCCCCCAGCTCATTTCCCTCCCCTGCCGGGAGAGCCCCTGCATTCCTCCCCCAAAGGTGGCATCAGCCGGCTGGAGGCTCCCAGGGGAGAGTCTAAGCCTGGCCCGGCCCTGCCCACCCCACACCATGACTCTCCTGCTGCTGCCCCTCTTGCTGGCCTCCCTGCTCCCCTCTAGCTCCTGCAACAAAGGTGAGCCAGGTGGGGGTGGGCGCTTGGAAAGGGGTCCGGGCGCAGGAGGTGGGGGCAGGGGTGGGCAGGAGCGCCCAGGGAGGCTCTCTGGCACATGACAGGTGTCCTTCTCCCCATCACCGTCGTTTCCTCAGACCTGCCCGGCCTCTCACATGACCCCTGCCATCGCCTTTTCTCTGGTCCATCTGTAGCCATCATCTCTATCCATGTGCTTCTCCTTCTGGGGATGTTGCTCCCCTGGGTCTCCATTCCCATTCCGGGGTCTCTGTCACCCCTCCCCCACCTCTCCCAGCTGGAGATAGCTCAGGTCTCAGAAGGACTTGCTCCTGCGGGGTGACACGCATCTCTCTCAGTGCTCGTTTTCTCTGGGTTGTGCCTGCCATCTGCTTCCTCGCCTTCCCATCCCAGGGAGAAGTGCTTCTTGCAGCTCAGCGATTCGGAGCACGTATGTTTTGGCGTGTTCCTCTGCATCCATACCCTCACGCCGCATACAGCTGGGCCGCGGGGCACGGAGCTGCCCTCTCTGGCAGCAGCAGACACCTTCAGCTGAGTGAGGCCAGCGCAGGGGCGAGGAGGGAGGGGTGTGTGTGTGGGGGGGGGGGTAGAGAGCCCAGGCAGGTGGAGGGAGGCAGGGAAGGTTAGAAGTGGGTGTGTGGGGGTGTTAGTTGAGGGGTGAGAGGGGAAGCTGCGGAGAAGGAGGTGGATAAGGTGGGAGGAAGAGGATATAAGGGGTAAAGGTGAAGACATTTGGAAGCAAAGGTGAGAAGAGGAGGGAGCTAAAGAGATTGAAGGAAGAGGGTAGGTGGGAGGAGAGGAACCGGGAGCCCCAGGGTGAAGAGCAGGGGCGGAGGTGTGCAGAGGGTGTCCACCTTTGGCTGTGAGGTGGGAGCCCCTCCGTCCTCCCCGTGGCTCCTCACCTCAGTCCCTGACCAGAGTGTTGGTCTCCTGCCATTCTCTGTGCTGCCTTCTGAACACCATCTCCTGGCTTCCCCCCCTGCCATTAGAGGGGGTTAGGGCAAGAAAGAGCAGGCCTTCCTATATCAGAAGGCTTTTTGGGATGTGGTTGCAGCGAAGAGTGGAAATCAGGACATCTTCAGGACTGAGTTGCCTGTTGGCGCTTCAGTTTCCCTCTGATATGTCTTCCTCCACCACATCCCCCTGATGGGTCGTGACAGGATGTGCCTTGGGATCCTGGGCAGTGGCATGATGGGGTTAGAGCCAGCAGTGGAGGCTGAGTCTAGGGCCAATGTTTAGGGGATAGGAAGAAGCCTGGGCCCCCAGAAACATGCTACCCTTTCCCCAGAGCCCTCAGCAAGCTAGTGGGAGATTGGTCCTGGGAAACAGACAAGCTGAGTCTGTTGGACGTGGGAGAGGTCTGGAGGCTGAGTGAGTTCCACGTCCATCCTGCATTAACTGGCGGTTGAAGGGAAGGGGGTGGGCTAAGTCAGATTTGGGACTAATTCATGACTCTGTACAAAGTGGGGTTCAGGAAAAATGCTTGGTAGCCCTAGAAATGTACAGGTTCTGAGTGTGCTCTCTTGGGTGTAGGGGTGAGAGGCAGGGAGGGGATTTGTCGTGTTTCTAGGCCAGCTGGCTAATCCCTGAGGATGTCAGCCCTCCTGGTCCAGTTACTCGGCATTGATTCTCTGTTCCACCACTGTGCTTCTCCGTCCCCTCCCTCTGTCCTATATTTGTGTCTCTTTTCTCCTGTCTCCTCTTCCCGCTACTATGGAGAATGGCCTTGGGTTGGACTTGGCTGGGAGAAGACAGAGTGAAGAAATCAAGATTAAAATGAGGTGGTGGTGGAGAGGATAAGCAATCAGGACCTTGGGAAACTTCTAGACCTTCTTTCCCAAAACATACTCTATCCTTTATCAATCCTTCTCTCTCCTTCCCCAAGGCTTACCACTACTTTCTGGACCCCCAGTCTTACTCTCCAGCACTTGAAATCCCTAAATAAAGTTCTCTACCTTCTGATCATGTTTCCCAGGGGAGATAGTGGTCCCCTTCCCCCAGGGCAGGCTATTGCCATGGAAACGGCCTGTCTTGCTATAGGAGGAGTCTGTGACCTTCCTTAGACCACCTCACACCTTTAATAGCTGATTTTTTGTCCTTAGTCCTTCTCCCTCCAGTGGATGCTTCTGCAGGTGGGGGGGATGGGTGATGATGCTGGAGTGGGGGTGTGTCTAGTTCCCCAGGGTTGTATGGGAATGGAAGTCCAGCTCACAGGGGCTTCTCCTCTCCTCTCCCTGGGGGGTCAGCCAACAAACACAAGCCATGGATAGAGGCGGAATACCAGGGCATCGTCATGGAGAATGACAACACTGTCCTGCTGAACCCCCCACTGTTTGCCTTGGACAAAGATGCACCCCTACGCTACGCAGGTAATTGGGGTCATGGGATGGTCAGGCAGGAGCGCAGAGGACAAGGGAAGGAAGGGATGTCCAGGGAGGGAGAGGCCTTGGGAGAGTGGAAGAAGTGAACTCTGGAAGGGATGGGGTCACATGAAGATGGCGGTTGGGTGATGGGGGATTCTCCCAGAGCTCACGCAGCGCTTCTGAGGGACTGCTGTTCAGGGAAGCTGGCGTTGGGGTACACTTGAGAATCAGTGCCGTGTTTACACATACATGAGAAGGGACAGGAGCTTAGGAGGAGAGGTGAGGTGGGAAGCCAAGATGGAGAAGAAGGGCTGGAGGTGGTACAGGACGCTCACCCTCCCCTCCCCTGGGCCAGGTGAGATCTGTGGCTTCCGGCTCCATGGATCTGGGGTGCCCTTCGAGGCGGTGATCCTGGACAAGGCAACGGGAGAAGGGCTGATCCGGGCCAAGGAGCCTGTGGACTGCGAAGCCCAGAAGGAGCACACCTTCACCATCCAGGCCTACGACTGTGGAGAGGGCCCCGACGGTGTCAACACCAAGAAGTCCCACAAGTGAGGAGACGCGCCCTGTGCCCCGTCCCCTGCTCTGTCCCCTGCTCTCAAGCCCTCAGCCTTCCCCACCCACACTCTCTTCTCTCTGTGTGCATAGGGTGTAGGGGCAGGGTCCCTGTACAGCAGGGGTCTTCAGTCAGGGTGACAGAAACACAGAGGCGCTCAGTGCAGTCTACCCTGGCTCTACCTCTTTTGACTTTGGGCCACTTACTTAGCCTTTCTGCTTTTCCTCATTTGTAAAATGGGGACGATGATGCTCCTTCTTTGAGTTGCTGTGATGATTAATGAGGTGTGTGTAAAAAATGTGCATTCTAGACCTCGGTGCCTCAGATGACACAGGACAGAGGTGTTAACATGATAAGAAGGGAACAGGGAGGAGGAGGAGGATGAGCACATTCAGCACACATCCGTGAGGTTTCTTCCAACTGGCCCCTCGCACATACGTGACTCATAACACGCATATACATGATTCATAACATGCTTCACTCAGAGCTCCACTGATGGTGGGCAGGAAATGGCCACAGCATAAAAAGGGCTCAGTTCTGGCCAACTTTTCATTTGAGAAGGGTAGAAAGATTGATAGTCAGGATTCCTGGACTGTTAGGTGGCTGATAAACCATTCTCTGTGACTCAGTTTCTCACATTGAGATAAGACCCTGGCCCTTGGGCCTAGCTATCCCGATCCTGGGCTCAGCCCCGGCTCCTCTCGGCTGGCGGGTGCCTGAGGAAGCAGGGTCCTGGGCGCACATGTACATGTGAGCACTGCTCCTTCCAGGCAACTTTTAGAAAATGCCAATGCCATTTTCCGCCCCATGGCTGCTTTTAATTTGGTGCTTAGGCCGCATTTTTCCTTGGTTACCCCATCACCTTTGACTAATATGATAGAATAAGCTGCTGGATACAAAATCCTCTGCCTTCACCTTGATCTTGCAACCCAGCCTATAACATCTGCACAGAAGTCAACAGGATCAGCTGCGGGCATCCCTGGGTTTGTTCCTGCCCCTCACGCTGGTCACCCTGCCTTGGGCAGCCCCCTGAGGGACAGGGGGAGCGTGCCATTGTCCCGGGCTTGGGGGCAGGGTGTCCCCTCCTGCTCTGAGTCCCTGGCTGACTAGTCCTCACCCCTCCCCGGCGCGGGTGCCCACAGGGCCACCGTGCATGTGCGGGTCAACGACGTGAATGAGTTTGCCCCCGTATTTGTGGAGCGGCAGTACCGCGCCGCGGTGACAGAGGGGAAGCTGTATGATCGCATCCTGCGGGTGGAAGCCATTGACGGTGACTGCTCGCCCCAGTACAGCCAGATCTGCTACTATGAGATCCTGACGCCCAACACCCCCTTCCTCATCGACAACGATGGTGAGCCGCTCTGCCCACCCTGCCACCCGGCCCTCACGCACCCGCTCCCCTCAGGAGTCCCCAGGCCTGCACTCTCCAGGTCCCCTGCCTCTCAGGCTCTCATTCCATACCCTCCTTCCCAGAAGCAGAAGTGTCTTTCCCAGAGAACTTCTTCCCAGCTTCCTAACTCAGTTGCCTCCTGACTAGCTCCGAGTCCTCCCTGTGCCTCCCTGGCTTTCTCTAGCACTCCTGACTCTCTCTCCTTCCACTCCCATCCCAGGGAACATTGAGAACACGGAGAAGCTGCAGTACAGTGGCGAGAGGCTCTACAAGTTCACGGTGACGGCTTATGACTGCGGAAAGAAGCGCGCAGCTGACGACGCCGAGGTGGAGATCCAGGTGAAGCCCACCTGCAAACCCAGCTGGCAAGGTGAGGCGCACCGCACAGGCAGTTGCCAGCTTTCTTCTCGGTCTCTCTTTTCGTCCCTTCTGACAATCATGGGGCCTAGGCTGGAGGTCAGGGGAGACATATTTGGGAGCAAGTTCACAGGTATCTACTCTGGCTGGCCATTCTCCTAGCAGCTGAGATGCCAGCAGACATGTCTCCAGCAGGGAGAATTGAACCCATAGAAGGGGCTGCTATCCCTTCTCTTTCTCCACTGTCTTCTCCTTCTCACCTGTCTAGGCTGGAACAAAAGGATTGAATATGCACCTGGTGCTGGGAGCTTGGCTTTGTTCCCTGGTATCCGCCTGGAGACCTGTGATGAGCCTCTGTGGAACATTCAGGCGACCATAGAGCTGCAGACCAGCCACGTGGCCAAGGGCTGTGACCGTGACAACTACTCAGAGCGGGCATTGCGGAAGCTCTGCGGTGGGTGTGCCCCTCCCCCCAGGCTTGTCCCTCCCCACCAGGCTCTGTCTTTGACTCCAGGGATCTGGAGTATATATCTTTGGGGGGCTGGGAGGGGCGGTTTGCAGCATGTGGTTAGATCTTGTGGCCCTGAAAGTAATAAACACATGGTTGGCAAAGATGCATGGTCATTGCACAAGACAGCTACCTGGTCCACAGTTGACAGTGTAAGGAGAGACGAAGAGCTGGACATGGGTCGAGTTCATCGGAGAACATTCCTAGCACCCCTCTGTTGGTTTTGGGAGGCCAGAAGAGCCCGTGAGACTCGCTATAGGACATCTTTTCCCACCACTCATCCTTCCCTGCCTGCTTCCTTTTCCCCACCTGACTCGTGTCATGGGGCTCTTGCAGGCGCAGCCACAGGAGAGATAGATCTGCTGCCCATGCCCGGCCCTAATGCCAACTGGACAGCGGGACTCTCTGTGCACTACAGCCAGGACAGCAGCCTCATCTACTGGTTCAATGGCACCCAAGCTGTGCAGGTGCCCTTGGGCGGCACAGCCGGGCTGGGCTCGGGGCCCCAGGACAGCCTCAGTGACCATTTTACCCTGTCCTTCTGGATGAAGCATGGTGTGACGCCCAACAAGGGCAAGAAGGAAGAGGAAACCATTGTGTGTAACACTGTCCAGAACGGTGAGCCTTCCCGTGGCGCGGAGCTGGGGAACCTGGTTTCTTGTGCCGCCTCTGTCACTGTCCAGTCTGTGACTGTGCGTGGGTCTCTTCCTCCCTCCTCACTGGCAAGTTGGCAGTGCTGGGTTGGCTGCTCCCTGAGAGTCTGTGACTCACTCCCAACCTGACAGGTTGAGCCCATACTAGTGCCATTTTCATCCACAGTGGCCCAGTCCTTGTGCAGCCCAGCCTGCAGTCGGACCCCCCACAGACCTACTTTCACTAAAGCTTGGTCATTGCAGTGGAAGTGCCTCGGTGATAGGATGCCCCATCCTTTCCCTTCCACCACTTTCTCTTCTTCCCCTAAGGCCAGTGGGCTCCTCTCCAGACGCCCCTTTCCCTGACTGCAAGGCACAGCCCTCTAGAAAGGGCTCAGCCTTGACCTGCTCTTCTGTTTCCAGCCACTTCTATGAGCTCCTTTCTCTTGACCTGAACAGGATCATTACCTTTGCTATTTGTGTTAACCAGAGGAGCAATAAAGATCTGGGTGGGAGAAGGCTGGCTGATGTTGGTCTCAGTCAATTTGAGTGCTGGAGGGAAAAAGAGGAGAAAAAGAGAGAGAGAGAGATAGAGAGGAGCGGAGAGGAGGGAGAGAGAGGGAGAGAGGGGAGAGGAAGGAGAGGGGAGAGGAGAGAGTGGGAGGAGGAGAGAGGGGAGGAGGGGGAGAAAGAGAGAGAAAGGAGGGAGAGGAGAGGAGAGAGGGAGAGAGGGGGAAGGGAGGGAGACAAAGGGAGAGAGAGGGGAGAAGGGAGGGAAGAGAGAGGGGAGAAGAGAGAGAGAGGGAGAAGACAACCCAGTGTCCCCTCCCTTCTGGTGTTTTGAACCTGTTCTTGCCTGAAACCCTACTTCTGACTGGCCCCATCCTCTCCCCAGAGGATGGCTTCTCCCACTACTCGCTGACTGTCCACGGCTGCAGAATTGCCTTCCTCTACTGGCCCCTGCTGGAGAGCGCCCGCCCAGTCAAGTTCCTTTGGAAGCTGGAGCAGGTGAGGCCCAGGCTGGCTCCCTGCAAAGTTGGCAGGAGGGGGTGGATGTGACCAGCTCCAGGGAGAGAGGGTCTGGGGCAGGGGTTGGCATTTTCCGAGTTGTTCTGTGTCCCAACTTTCAGTTCCTTCTCATCCTATCCCCCACCCCCTTCTTTGGTCAACCCTCTCCCCTGTCTCCTGCAGAAAGCTTGCCTAGATTAAAAGGAATGAGGGAGCAAAATGCTACTAACATGAAACCCAACCAACCGTCTTCCCCCTTTGCTTTACTTATCTCTTCCTTAGCTAGAAACTTAACAGCACATATCCTTGACTCCCAGTAGTTAGCGTGTTGTAATTGAGAAAATAAACAATTCTGAGATACACAGCTTGGGGTTGACGCCTTTCAGGGAAATTTACTAGCCGTCAGTTCTCGGTGAATGTGTCTAAACCTCTTGGATCTGGCTATTAACCGGATGCCAAGAACTCTATATCCCAGCGTGGCAGGAGTCAGTGATGTACTTGATCTACTGAAGATTCCACTTAGTGTTTTCACTAGAAATATTAATTCTTACCATTATTATCCATGATGATGGATACCTCAAAAACTATAAAATCTTCTCTCGAGCCTGCAGATGCGGCCTCTTCTTTATTCAGCCTCCAAGTGACCACAGAGGCCGGGGGACTAATTTAAGTTTCCATCTCCTGTTTTCCTCGCAATCTGGTGAAGTGGCTGAGTAAATAAATGACTGGGAAAAGGCAGGATGTGGAGAAGAGAGAAAGGAAAGTGAAGGGTCTAGAAAACCCACAAATTGAATAATGGAGGGCTGACTGCACAAGTTTCTGCTTTTTGTGGTTTTCTTTTAAAGAGACAGTCTGCCATTTGCTGCTTCATGATCTTTCTCCCATGTTGCTAACACGGGTAACAGTACTCTTTGTGTTTTTCTTATATTTATCCTTATTTATATATATTAAATATCAGTTAACTCTTCTATCCCCTGTTAAATTCCAGGGATACAATAGAATGCGAAATGAAACAAAATTTTGCTTTTGTTGAGCTTACATCTTAGCTGGGTGGTTGATTTTTTAAAAGCAGGTAGACATATTAGAATGATAAATTGTTATCAATACAAGGGCCTGCAGGGCAGGCAAGGAGAGGGGAACTTACTTTAGATTCATTGTCTAGGGAGGAGCGTCAGGGAACTGAAGTGTCAAAGGAGGAGAAAACAGTTGTGAGAAGAGGAAAATCTGAGGCTGGGGAAGCGTTTAGCATGTCCCAAGCGCAGAGAGACCAGTGAGAGGGAGTACACTGAGCAAGGGAGAGGCTGCATATGAGTTGGAGAGCTGGGCAGTGACCAGGCTGTCCAGTGGATGCTGTCAGCTGGGGTTTAGTTAGATTTGGTCCCATGAGAGATGGGCTCCCAGCAGGAACATAACTTGATCAGATTGGAGACCTCTCTGGTAACTCTGGAGGAACGTGTTGAAGGCATAAGGGTGTAGTGCACGAGGAGACCGCGGGGGGGCACCCATGAGGATGGCAGGGGCCGGTTCTGGCCTGTGGCAGTGGACACAGCGTGGCACAGAAGCACAGCTCCCAGACCCCTCTGGTCCCGGGATCGACAGCCCCCCTGGTTGGTTGGATATCAAGGATGAGGGAAAGAGAAGGACGAACGATGTCGGCTAGGTCATCCGTGAGCGCCTGGGTGGACGGTGGCGTGCTGTGCAGCGTTGGGATGGGGCCCGGCCGCCGGCCTTGGACAGGCACACCTTGTTTCACCGCACTTATCTTTACAATACTTCACAATTTTGCAAACTGATGGTTTGTGTCTGTGTCGAGCAAGGCTGCCGGCGTCCTTTTCCCAACTACTTAGACGATGGTTCGTCTTTTTAGCAAGAAAACATTTTTAGGGAAGATGTGTACATTGGCTTTCAGGCCTAATGCATTCCCACACTTAACAGATGACAGCACACAGCTGCCCGTTGCTAAATAACATTCAGTCAGGGATGGGCTGCTAGGGGTGGTAGTCCCAGTCGGCCATACGTGGAGCCTAGCGTGTAGCAGGTCGTCCCATCTGGGCGTGTGTGATACTCTTTGATGTTCGCACAGCGATGGAGTTGCCTAATGACACGTTGCTCCGAACACCCCTGTGTGAAGCAGTGCCCACGACTATGGCATAGGCACAATTTTGTGTGCAGGGGGCAGCCAGAGACTCCCTTTTTATTTCAATCATAACTTCATTGGATGCACACGGTTCGCGGAGGTATTACGCCTGTACGGGCTAGACGTGAGGTATCTGGGAGCTATCCAAGTGGACAATCCGGCAGTCAAAGGAGAGTTCTGGGCTGGTGGGGTAGATTTTGGAGTTATCAACCTGGATATGATAGTAGAACCTGTGGGAGCAGATGAGGTAACCCCTAGGAAGGGAGGGTACAGAGAAAGGGGAAAGGAGCAAGTGGAACTTGAAGGATTCTAGCATTTGGAAGCTGATAAAGCAGAGAGCTTGCTAATCTCCTTATTCTGCTGGCCACCCCTCAGCTCATCTTGATTCAGTGGGTTTCCAAGCTTCTTTAGAGATTCCAGAGCCTCCCCACCCCACACAAATACACACACATATATACATACACATACATATATACATACACACATGGATACACGTTGGGGGGAAATTTATTCACAGAATGGTGTGTTACTCCTCTTGGGAATATTTATAAAGATTTCCCTGGAGAGTGGAATTTTAGGATGGTGCCTGATAGGTTTTGAGCTGGGTCGGAGGCCCTGGTGGTAGGGCTGGCAGGATGTGGGGACTGTTTTCCTTTGTGTTAGTCTCCTGAAGCTGAGCTGCTGTGGATTCTGAGCCTTGTCTGCCCCTCAGGTCTGTGATGACGAGTGGCACCACTATGCTTTGAACCTGGAGTTCCCCACGGTCACGCTCTACGCTGACGGCATTTCCTTTGACCCTGCCCTCATCCATGACAATGGTCTCATCCACCCACCCCGAAGGGAACCTGCTCTCATGATTGGGGCCTGCTGGGCTGGTGAGTCCCTGAGCTTCTCCACAAAGACACTTAGGGTTGGCACCTCTAGTGACTGGGGACCAGTGACAGAGCACAGGCAGACCACTCCCATGGCCCTATGTATTCAGCTGGTCATCACAGGTGCTGACCACCCCTTCTCAGGCAGCACCAGAATCTCTCTGTAACTACTGTTCTCAGCTGGTTTCCCTCTGGAGGCTAGGCTGCCCTTCAGAGAGCCATCAGTCTTCCAACTTTTAAGCCGTTTCTTTCATCCGTTCCTTCTGGCTCTGTGTGTGTGTGTCTTACCAGAGTCTGTGTTTCCTTAGTAACATTCTAAGTGCATTTGTAACAGAGTCCAAACAAACTAAAGCAGAGTTGGGATCCAGCTGAGAGCTTGCAAATCCTCCATGGTCTGGATAGGACAGAGAAGCCTTCTTTTCCCTGCCCATCCGGTCCACAGCCCCGAGCTCACTGCCCTCCCCTCTTTTTCCCCCCAGAAGAGAAGAACAAAGAGAAGGAGAAGGGAGGAGACAACAGCACTGACACCTCACAAGGTACTGTGTGTGGAAGAACTGGAGGCCAGAGAGTTTCCCACTTTTCTGCTAGGTGCCACCCTTCCCGCCCCAGCCCCTTGCAGCTTCTCAGTTAACTGCTTCACACACCACCAGGGGGCAGAGGCTCCCTGAATGGCGGCCGGACAGGGAGAGGTGAAGCCAGACAGAGCAAGCAGGCTGCGGAGTCCCCTCTGCCTGCAGGGTGGAGGAGAGGAGCTCTCGCACTGGCTTCTGGGTGTGGGGCAGGAGGCAGCCATAAGCAGGGCATCCGGGCATCTGTGAAGCTCACACACATTCATCCTGGGCTCCTTGCATGCCCTAACGATGTGCTCTCCTCAGGCGCCTCCTCTTCCTCCTGTCTCCTCTCATCCCCTTCCCTGACACCACCTTTGGTCCTGTCTTCCTTCCTCTCCGTCTATCCCTGCAGTTTTCTTGTTTCTATTGCTTCGATTCCATTCCCTCCCCTCTTTCATGCCCCCTGGATTGATTCTGTCTTCTGGATCTCTCTGTCTTCTTAACCTCACTGCTCTGCCATCTCTCCTTTCTTCTTTAAGTCTCCACATTTCCCCTTCTTATTTTCCTTCTCAAGGCTGCTCTCTCTCTCTCTTTCCCCTCCCATTCAGTTCCTTTTCTTGCCCCGGGCTCCCATACCTCCCTCTTACCTCCTGTTGCCCCTGTGTTCCTGCCCTAGGAGATCCCTTGCCGATCCACCACTACTTCCATGGCTACCTGGCTGGTTTCAGCGTGCGCTCAGGCCGCCTGGAGAGCCGCGAGGTCATCGAGTGCCTCTATGCATGTCGGGAGGGGCTGGACTATAGGGATTTCGAGAGCCTGGGCAAAGGCATGAAGGTATAGCCCCTTCCTCTAGCCCATCCTTGGGGCATGATCCTCGCCCTGCCCCTGCCCCACGTCTCTACCTCTGCTCCCTTCCTCTCCTGCCTCCCGGTCTTGCTCTTAGCTGTGTCTGTGTCTGGGACCCAGGTCCACGTGAACCCCTCGCAGTCCCTGCTCACCCTGGAGGGGGATGATGTGGAGACCTTCAACCATGCCCTGCAGCATGTGGCTTACATGAACACCCTGCGCTTTGCCACGCCTGGCGTCAGACCCCTGCGCCTCACCACTGCCGTCAAGTGAGTGTGGGGGAAGGCAACTCATAGCACAACCAGACAATGTCAGGACTTCTTGGTTTTAGCAGTTGTAAGGCTGGGCAGATGGCCCTCATGAGTGGATGGAGAGATTGGGCCCCTGGCGACCACACCTGTCTTGTTCCACAATGGTATCCATGTGAGCCAGAAGAGCGTGGACCAGACTCAGTTTCCCAGCAACTGATTCATTACTCTTGAAGCCAAACTTCCAGGATGTGGAGGCTTCAGTCTTTTCAGTGTTGCTATGTAAAGCAGGACGGGGAAGGTACTGAAGTGGAAGCTGGGAGATTTGATATTAATTCTGACTCAATACTCATTGCCTGGATGTCCTTGGACAAAGAGCTCTATTTGTTCACCTATTTTAGCCTTCATTCATCAAGCTCTTGCAAGGTCAAATAGGATGATCTAAGCCTGGGAGTTGGTATTCCGTGGCCTGGATATAGTCTGGCCCACTGCCTGTTTTTGTAAATAAAGTTTTATTAGGACACAGCTGTGCCATTCAGTTGCATATTGTTTGTGGCTGCTTTCCCACTCTGATGACAGCACTGAGCAGTTGAAATGACCCCAAAAATATTTACTGTCTGGCCCTTCCCAGGAAAAATCTGCCTACTTTTGAATTCTGAGTAAATGATTTTCAACTCTTCATAAGAAAAAAATGCACTTGACTCAAGGTTTAAATATAGTTGGTATTTAAAAATATAGATTAACTGAGAGCTAATAAAAGAATAATAGTTAAGGACATAGAGTCTATTACCACTAGCTTTTTAGCACTGAGAAAATGCAGTAAAACAAGGAGAACAGTACATCTAACTTGGGGAATTGTCATGAGCAGTCAGTGATATAGCCAGAATCCAGTTCCATGCCTGTTCTAGTCTGGTTATTATACGAAGATATGTTCACCCCTGAATGTGGTTTATGGGGCAGTTTTTAGGAGATCCTGTCATGTGGTGGGTGCGTGACTTGATCTTAGTATCAGGATTCCTGAGTAAGTAGCTTTTCTGCCCCCACTCTGTCTCAGTTTTTGCACAAACTGTATGGAGGTAAGCATCTTTTGGCTCTATCCTAGTAGATTTAAAGAGGTGAGGGTGCTGAGCCCCAGACAGTGACTGGGCACGACTATCAGGCATCTCAGTTAGAGCTGTGGAAGGCAGGCAGCTTCGGGAATGGTGGGTCATGGTGTGGAGCTGAAGCCACAGAAAGATGAAGTCAGGTGTACGCAGACCAGGGCTGTGCTGGTTTAAGGGCTGAAGGGCTTAGTTCTCCAGACACCCAGGAATTACCTTACCGCCTGTTTATTTAGGACCATGGCCACAGAAGGGCTGGCTTAGTGTGGATTTCTGTAGGTGGGATTCCATGGGGGAGTGTTGACATCCTCTCGGTTTGTGGTCTGATCTAATTTCCTTCCACTTCTTTTATTTTTTTTTTTAAAGATTTATTTACTTATTCATACAGAACTGGGGTACAGGCCAGAGATATGGAGGGTGAGAGGATTCACCAGAGACAGAGTGGGGAGCAGAACAGGCATATCATGGAAGTACACTGCTGAGGGGAGCAGCGGGCGGGTCAGGAGAGATCTGCGGCGCCATGTGGTCACCTCCAGGGCAGGCGGGGATTGAACTCATGCGGAAGTGGCTTTAGCTTCTCAGTGCTGTGTTTTAACCCACTGCGCCACCAGGGAGGGCCAATTTTCTACATTTTTAAGGCTAGTTAGTGTTGCCCTAATGCTTCCTTGAGGTCATGGTAGCAAATACGGAAAAGTGTGTGTGTTCTTCATGCACATGTGTTCACCTGTGTATGAAATAGACCAACAGACACCTCCCTTTCCCTGATAAACACACATCTTGGCCCCAGTATGTGAGGCTTTCTGATTTCTGATATTCTATTCTTCTCATACCTATGTCCACGTAAGCCAGATTTATGCAACCAATTCAGTGAATGTTGATTTTCTCTATTTTTTTTTCTAATCCTCTTTCCTAGAAAGCCCATTAACTTGTGGCATTAACTCCTGACCACATGATGACCCCATCTTTTTTTCTAGCTTTGTCCTCGTTACATTGATTTTGAGTATCTACCTGTTTGCGATAACCTTTATCAAGAAGTTGTGCAAGCAGACGTGCCAGTGCTGAAGTAATGAGCTTCAACACACAAACTAGCCCCTCCTCCTGAGCTTTCTGTCTCTGTAATGGTGCCTCTTGCTTGCCATCCCAGGCTGGAAGCCTCTGAGTCATCTTTGATCCTCCCTGTCGTTACTCTCCACGCCCCAGCAGTTTGCCAGGTCACCTAGATCGGTGGTGTCTGGAATCTGGCTCTGCTTTTCCATCTGCTGTTAGGACTCTAGCCCGGATTCTCTTCCCTCTCACCTGGTCTTTTGTCTTAGTCTCCTCATTAGTTGACCTGTCCCTATTCTGACTTCAGTTTACCTGCTCCCTGGGGCTGCTAGTGATCTTAAATCAGAATTTTATTATCTCCTGAGGACTGATGTTGATGGTTCCTCCTCATTCCCAGTCCATAAAAATGGCACTGAAAGCCCCCCATCCCCCCAATCTGGCCCCTGCCTGCCTTTCCTGCCTCGTGTTTCTCTGCTCCCCTTAGGACACCCCTCACCATTCACCTGTGTCAATCTTCTGCCTAGTGAAGCCAAACTCCTTCATAGACCAGCCCTTTGGCTTTTTCTCCATCATCCCTACCTTTCCACATCATGACACCCCACTTCCATCTTAGCGAGAAATCTCAGGTCTTGCGGCTTTCTGTTTGTTCCTCTCCTGTGATGGTCTCATTTAAACTTTCCAGTCATTTGGCCTTTGGGTTTGGGACAGTCCCACTCCATTCTGTGTCCCCTTCGGAAGGCCCATCCCAGTGTGAGTGTCTGCTGGAGGCTGTGCTCTCAGGGTCAGTGGGGTTGTTTTCTGGAGGCTTTGATCTAAGCCTTTCTGGATGACGGTGCCGACAGCCTTCGAGTGCCCTCCTTGTGCAGGGACACGTCAAGTCATGGGCATCGGTAACCTCTCTGCTAGGACTGCAGCTTCTCCGTTCGTCTCCAGCTGTAAGCTGGGCATGCTCAGTAACACTATTAGCAGTTGAGCTAATCATTTCACGTAGCACATGCCTGCAGACCGTGGTCCCCCCTCCTGGATTATTGACACCCTTGTGAAATGCTTGTGCAAGGAGGTACTTTTTTTTTTTTTTAAAGATTTATTTATTTGTGCATACAGAACTGGGGTATAGGCCAGAGGCTCAGGGGCGGTGAGAGGCTTCACCAGAGACAGAGTGGGGAGCAGAACAGGCAGATCGAAGAATTACACTGCTGAGGGGAGCAGCGGGCGGGTCAGGAGAGGTCTGCCGCGCCATGTGGTCACCTCCGGGGCAGGCGGTAGTTGAACTCGTGCGGAAGTGGCTTTAGCTGCTCAGTGCTGCGCTTTAACCCCCTGCGCCACCAGGGAGGGCCGCAAGGAGGTACTTTTTAAAAAATAAAATTGACTGGTATAAACCCTGACCTTTTACGGAAGCTGGCTGCTGTGGTTGAGTGGACTTGGAATAAGAAGAATGGATTTGACTTCATCAAAGAGTTTTGACTTATCTCTATTTCACTGCATTGAGATAAAGTTGAACAAAATAACATAGGCAAAAGACGTCATCAGGCAGCAAACGTTAGGAGAATATGATGAGCTATTGTTATTGATTGGCAAAGGAAGGAGCTGGAGCTACCTGGGTGTACAGCCCTGAGTGGCTGTGCAGCTGGGGGCTGTGGCCTGGCTAAGTTCTCCAGGGAGAGTGTGTTCTGAGACCGAGATCAGGTGGCTTATACGACAGTGGCGGCAGGCCCAAGAGGGTCAGATTCGCTTACCTACCGAAGTGTTTCTCTGCTAGAGAAGGGAGTGAATGGGAGACACCTCAAGGACATCTTCTGATAGCTCCCCCCCAACTCACCCTGCTTCTGTTGAATATTTCTTGCCTTGTATATCCCAGATATTGTACTGAACATCTTTTCTTTTTAACCTCCTGGCTATAGAACTGTGGATGTGTGTCTACTTTTGTGAATTTGGTTGGCAAGATAGCTTGAGAGCTGGGCCACAGCCTTGGGCAGGGCATGATGAGGTGGTCACCCTGCAGGCAGAGCTGTCTGACCCTTGTCCCTGCCCTGTTGCTGCAGTGACATCTCCCTCTGGTTTTACTCCTGGGAGGTGGGGGGGTGCAGAGTTGATTCCTCCTTCCTTCTTTTACCCTTCTGACACGGGGGGCTCTACTGTAGAGATAGAGGCCCAGCAGAATGAAAATATAGCTTGTAAGGGAGGGGATGTTGGGGTCACACGATGCTTCTCCCCCCCTTCTCATGCAGGTGCTTCAGCGAAGAATCCTGTGTCTCCATCCCTGAAGTGGAGGGCTACGTGGTGGTTCTTCAGCCGGATGCACCCCAGATCCTGCTGAGTGGCACTGCTCATTTTGCCCGTCCAGCTGTGGACTTCGAGGGGCCTGAGGGGGTTCCTTTGTTCCCTGATCTTCAAATCACTTGCTCCATTTCTCACCAGGTGGAGGCCAAAAAGGATGAGAGTTGGCAGGGTACAGGTGAGGACATCATGCAGAGATGGGTTCTTGTCTGAAGTCAGCGTGGGGGTAGAAATCTGGGGCTGGATGGAGAGGGTGATTTCATCCTGTGTCTGCTTGAGTAGGACCACCTGTCATTGGGGGGTGCCCCCTTACCCACGGGGGATACCTTCTAAGACCCCCAGTGGAGCCCTATAGATACTATACTTTTCACATACATACATTCTGTAATGTTTAATTTCTAACTTAGGCACAGTTAGAGATGAATGACAGTAACAACTGCAACCATATATATATATATTTTATTACAAAAGTTTATTTTTACAGCATTTTGTACATTTTTTTTCCATCTCAATTATAATCCCCGCGGGTTTCCCATCACCAAATCACCCGTGTGCCATCACCATAATCCCGTGCATTTCCCTCCCCCCACCGTTTTTGATCCCATTCCCCACTCCACCCCCACAAAATGTTGCAACCATATATTTTAATAAGCAATGTGAGTGAAGTCACTCTCTCTGCATCTGAAAGTATCTTATTGTATGCGATACTTTTGGATGTGAAAAGTGAAACTGCAGACAAGAGGGTCTGCTGCAGAGTCAGCGTGGGCGTACGGAGCTTGTTGGGTAAAGACGTTTTTTGAAAATGCGGCTGGCTGTGCTGGGGAGTGACCTGGAGGGACAGGGGCTGTGACCCTGACCCGGGCCTGCTCTCCCGTGCAGTGACAGACACACGCATGTCGGACGAGATCGTGCACAACCTGGACGGCTGCGAGATCTCTCTGGTGGGGGATGACCTGGACCCCGAGCGGGAAAGTCTGCTGCTGGACACGGCGTCCTTGCAGCAGCGAGGGCTGGAGCTCACCAACACGTCCGCCTACCTCACCATTGCTGGTCAGTGGCCCCGTGCTCCAGTGTCTGGGCACTGCCGAGACCCCCCGCCTTCCAGACTCAGGGATGTGGTCCAGATGCCATGTGGTAGCGCCCCAGCCTGGCGTTCCCCCAGCTTCAGGGCTTAGGGCAAACATTTCTTTCTCTTTGCTTCTTTTGACAGCCGGTTCCTCTTCTATTTCCCATTAAGTCTCTCTCCTCCCTCACCCTCTCGGCTTCTCTCCCCCTAGCTTTCTACTCCTTTAGCTGCTGGGCTCCAACTGTCTCCTCCATCTTCCACCTCACCGGCCTCATGCTCACGTCACAGCTTTAAGTTACGTGCCTGTCTCTTAAGCAGCAGCGGTAATGATTCCAAAGCTTCCAGAGAAAGTCTCCTCTCCAAAGGCCCTGCACAGGGCAGTAGGGGAGACGGTGGCCTAGCCAGGCCCCTCCCCCTTCTCTTCCAGGGCCTCCTTCTGTATTTTCTCCTTGCTCTTTTCCTCTCACTTGCCACCTCCCTTCCACCTCACATGCTGTCCTCCTTTCCTTTCCTCTGTCCCTGCCCCCAAACTACTGAGCTGTTAGAAAGGAAATGGAGTCCCTGCCAGGGTGGTGGGGGTGGCACTGACCCACTCTGCTCCTCTATGTGGTGTCAGCCGATGGGAGTCGGAGTGGGCCCTGCACCCACCGGCCCCTGCACCCACCTGCTCCTCGGCCCCCAGGGGTGGAGAGCATCACGGTGTACGAGGAGATCCTGCGGCAGGCTCGTTATAGGCTGCGACACGGAGCTGCCATCTATGCCCGGAAATTCCGACTTTCCTGCTCAGAAATGAACGGCCGTTACTCCAGCAATGAATTCATCGTGGAGGTAACTCCCCATAGCGAGGACCAGGAGGAGTTTGCTGGAACCCATAGCTGGTGGGAATGAAAACTGAAGCGTGGACGACTCCTGGGCTGGTGATGTGGAAGGGGCAGCAGTGGGGCAGTGGTTAGAGCGGCTCTGGAGAGGAGGAGAGGGACCTGGCGTGTGTGCCCACAGCCTGCCCTCTCTCCAGGTCAGCGTCCTGCACAGCATGAACCGGGTGGCCCACCCCAGCCACGTGCTCAACTCCCAGCAGTTCCTGCACCGTGCCCACCAGCCGCCCCCCGAGATGGCAGGACACAGCCTGGCCAGCTCCCACCGGAACTCCAGTACGTGAGGCAGCGTGGGGCTGGCGGGGCGGGGCGGCTGGGCTGCCTTCTCCGCACCTCTGGGCGATTCTGTGTTCTAATCCTGTATCCCAGGAACGTGAGCATCTCACCAGGAACCCATTCTGGAATCGAAGAGTCCATGTGGGTGCAGGTCCTTGTCCCTCTGCTTCCCGGTACCCAATATCGGCTGAGTCCAGGGTCCTGGGCAGTGATGGTATCCAGCAGTTATTAAGCACCCACTGTGTGCCAAACCTAGGGTACTAGGAATATAAAAGGATTATAGGCTAGAGACAGTCCTGTCCTTAAGGAGAGAGTCGCCACCTTCTCAGGGGTGACTGTGTGTTCCCTATAAAGTCACGCGGCTGTTTCTAAAGGAAAACCCTCCTGCACACAAGCATGATTCCCGACGGAGTGCCCCTCTTTAAAGCCATCTTATTCCTGGCCGTGCTCCTTGACTAGCAATGCGACTTTCCATTCTCAGTTTAAGTGTTGCTGAATAGTAGAAAAGTTAGAGAAAAAGAGATGTGGAGAAGGAAAGTCAGGCATCATTCCATCATGCAGAGAAACCCAGCGTTGATGAGGTATAGCACACGTCAGGGTTTATTTCTATGCTTTTTAAAGTCCTTTTTATGAAATTGGGATCAAACTACGTTGCAACCTGAGATTTATTGACACCTAATATCAAATGAATCATCTCCCACATGATTAATGAGTGACTGCAAAATAATCCTGATGGAATTTTGGCTGACAGTGGTTTTTGGGAAAGCTTTTTCAGAATGGTTCAGAATTTTTCAAAGTCAGTGTAGGAATTGCATTTATTTTTGTTACTTTGTGGGCATACCTTGCTTTTGGCCCAGTTAGCTCTTACCCAATTTAGCATACCCTTTTGCCAGAGTTGGCTCTGGATGTCATTAAAAAATACCGTTGCTTTATAATATTAGGTGAATTTCAGCAGAACAATCTCACACCTGATATGTGAGCGTCACATATCAGCATCCCCACAGCATCCCCACCCGCTAAGTTCAAGGGCCCTCACGCTATCCAGTTGACTTCCTCTACTCCTTCCGCTTGTCTCCTTCTCCTGCCCGCTCTGTAATCATTGTTTTGTTCCCAGAATTCTTAGATCTAAGGATTCTGGAAACAAAATTGTTGTATTTTGTTCATTTCTTTCTTTATACTGAGTGAAGTCACTCAGTATTTTCTTTCTCTTTCTGACCCATTCCACCTAGCACAGTTTGTTTAACTTCCATCCATGGTGTCGTAAAAGGCCAGATTTCAGCTAGTAGTATGGTGTGATTTTCAGTTTTAAACATTAAAGGCACTCTCAAGGGGGCTGGATTTGTCACTTTTGAAAATGTCATAGGGAGTGTCACAGGAGCTGTCCACCTGGGATGTCCCTGCTGGGCTTGGAGCTGGGTCTCCTGAACATCTAGACCTCCCTCACTTCGCTGAATGGCATTCTCTGATCTGGGTTTTGTGGGACATTAGTGCTCTTTGGCATGTTAGAGATGCCTGTGGAGGTTCCGTAAGGTGTTCTGAAGATGCTTTCTTGGAAGAAGTTCATGGTCACTGAGCATTACCCTGAGAGTTCAGTACATGGAATAACCCTGAGAGTTCAGTACATGGAATACATGTAACAATAGGAACAGTAAAGCATGTGCGAGCTGGCCACCCTGGTGCTGGGCTTTTACGCACATCAGCCCCTTTAGTCAAACAGACACAGATGAAATCGCTGCTAGAATTACCGTCTTGAAAGGCAAGCTAATGGCGGTCCAGAGAGGTTAAGTATCTTTTCCAAGGTCACACAGCTAAAAGGATTCAAATCCAGGAAGTAGCACTTCAGAGCCTGCACCCTGTCCATTTATGTTGGGCGTATTTTTTTAATTAAAAAAAGTCTCACTCTTTTATCTTTGCACCTACTTTGAGGGAGCTCCTGCGGACTTCCCTAGGCTCCTTTGAGGCTTGTTTCTCGACATCCCAGGGACTTGGTCTGGCTTCCTCTCTTGCCCAGAAGTCCCACTGTCTCTTGTATTTCCTTTTCCTGGGACTGTCCCCTTTATTCCTTGTTGTTCCTGAAAATGACTGCAGAGGTCTTTTAAAGTGTTTTACTGTGCTTCAGTACACAAAGCAGATGACAGGAAGCGCGAGGGGGAACTTTAAGGCATCACTGAGTTGCAAAGGTTCAAAGTCACACAGTTGATGGAGACATGTGAGTGAACTAAGCCTGTCTTTGTTGACCAGACCCTTGGGACCAGCCTTGTCTTTTTATGATTTTCTAGTTCTTTCTCTAGTTCTTGCCTTGGGAATCCTCTCACTGTCCTCATCTGGGTTGGATACTGGGCTGGGACTGGCTACTCAAATTAGGCTCAACGTAGATCCAGGTTGGCATCACTGCTGCGCCTGGTGAGGCTCTCAATCCTTGTTTCTCTGGGATGCAGCCCAAGCGAAGGGAGTCTGAATTCTCACCACCCAGAGCCTCCTCCCCGTCTGCCCCCAGCAACCTAGCAGGTCTAGTTTTGCACCTTCACCCCCTGCAGCTGCCTGGGGGTGCTCAGAAGGTGTGGGTGCTCCTTTGCTTTACCTCCTCACCCCCAGCCTCTGATCTGAGCTGAAACACATGCCAACTAGGTTTCCTTGATTCCAGTCTCCCCCACCCCCAGTTTTGACCTGAATCGGGTGTAGGGTTCTTAGTTCACATGAGGCCATTGGTGACTGACATCTCTCCCAGGAGGCTCACTCCATAAAGCCATCCCTTACAGAATGATGGCTTTGCAATTCAAATTGCTCCCAGCATCTATAGAAGCAGTGAGAGATGTAAATTCCCACAATGAAACAGGAGGTTCCTGTCTCAGAAGCTCTTTAAAAGCACCAGAAAAGAGGGATGAGCATGAGTATGGACTGTCCGGGATGGAGCTGTGGGGCTTGTAGCTTGGAGTCTGGCCCTGGAGGGGTGCAAGGGACTTTGGACAGGCATGAGTGACAATGAGGATTTGAGATTGGAGGCGAGTTTGGGCATCCTGGTTAGGGAGCATGATGTCTGAGAAGCATGAGATAAGGTGATGAAGACAAGGTTCTCAAGTCATTCCAGACTTTGATGCAGCTGGGACAACTTGGGGGCTGTAAAAGCACTTGATGCTTAGATTACCCCCCACACTGATGAAACCAGAGTGTGTGTGGGGGAGGGGTGCAGGCGGCTGTGCTTTTTAAAGACTCTTGGGTGACTCGAATGTGGAAATGGTCAGGGGACCATTTCCTACTTTGTTCCCTATAAACTATCGAAGATTTAACGCATACATGTGTGAGGCAAGAGGAGAAAAGTGGGAAATGTGTGAGGAAGTAAGGAGAAAAGAACATTGCTGAGAGGGAAATGAGATGAAGCCAGGGAATATTCTGCGTAGGAAATATGTCTATGAGACACTACGCAGTTGCTAGCACGGGTCCGAGCTTGACTCTAAACTGCTGCTAAAGCAAAAGGAAAAACTGAGTGGTAATGACAGTCATCTCGTAGGAGCCAACCAGTATTTCCAAAGGAGGCACCAGGTGGCACCGTGGGCAGGGTTTCAACAGTGTCCTCCCAGCCTGCTGAAGCCAGGAGTTTCTCCTGGGCTGGGCCGTTGGCTCCAGGGCCCCTTGGTGTTGTCTGCGGAGGTCATTTAAATCCAGAATTAATAGCTTGCATCTAATATAGCAAGAAAGGTTGATTGTGCTTCTTAGGCTGTCGATTTCTGTCTGTAGCTAATTTTGAAATCCTTTCATTTCGCTGGCTTGCTGGCAAATTTTACACACAGTAGCCACTTTGTTGACCTGTTGACAGGCAAGTATAGAACTGTTTTGGCTTTGTCTTTCCTGTGGTCATCTCTTGCTCTTGACATATCCTTCTCTCAATAAGGACAGAGGAATAAATGCATTTGACCAAGGCACAGACCAGGTGTCATTATGCCCCTAGAACAAGCTCACCTGCCACAGCCTCCACCTGGGGAGGGAGGGTGTCTCCAGTACTTCCAGAACCTTCGCTGGGCCACAGGGGTAGTCTGCTTGAGGGGTCACCACCCCTGAATCTTGCCCATTGACGTGGAGATGTGGGAGGGACTATTTGCTGCAGATGGCCAGAAAGGATCTTCTGTCCCCATCTTCCCTCCACCCATGTCCAGGCAGTTGAGAAATGCTGACAGGCCCATCTCTGCCCTGGGGCCAGCCCTGGGAAGCCTGCTGCTCAGTCAGCTCTCATTGGCCAGCGGCCCCAAGTGGGTTAGGGGTCAGGTCAGGCTGGGCACCGACTTGGCAAAGAGCTGTCAGGGCAGCCTCAGGGTGAGGGTGAGCCCGTGAGCCTGCTCAGGCGGCCACTCTCCACACACCTGGCCGGTCCTGCCTGCCTGTGCTGGCTGCTGGGGAGCTGGGGTGCGTGGAGGTCTCTGTGGGGGGCTCCTGTGCCTTGTGCTGCTCTTCGCTCTGCTCTGTCACCTGCCATGTGAGTTTTAGAAGGAAGGGGTAAATCGGGACTGGGAGACATCTGTGTGGGCTAGTGTGTGTGTGCGTGCATGCACGTATGTAACATGTATGTGTAGTAGTCCTGCAGCAACAGGACTGCCCAGGGGCTGTGCCTCACGGAGCCTTGGTGTTGGGGTGAGCTGCGGTGCACACAAACGGCAGGCAGGGGTGTACCCATGTGGGCTGTGGTGACGCAGCTGCCCATGTGGGCCCTGAGCCTGGGGGTGCGTGCATGGGGTCTCTGCCGCCACCTGCTGTCTCTGGGGCTGTGGACCCTCCTGCTTTGCCTCCTCTTGCCTCTCCGGGTGCTGCATGTCTGTGTGCAGCAGGGAGGCAGCGCCGTGCTCATGGCTGCCCGCTCCCTGGCCCTCAGAGTCTGCATCTGGAGCATTTACCTCTTCCTCCAGGGGGTGGCCTGCTTTGTCCAGCTGGCAGGCTTCTGGGTGAATCTGCACGTAAAACTCTACTGTGCCTTGCTGGACACCCTCAGTCATGTCCCTTTGCACCTGCTGTGTGAGCCGGCTGCCAGGTGGCTGGTGTGGGCAGGTGTGTGGGTCAGCAGAGGTCTGGCTCGGGTGCAGGGGTTGGCAAACTTTGTGCAGCTGTGTGCCCACATGCTCTTCCTGGGTGTGTATCTATGCTTGCACATCTTCTTCACCACCATCAGCTCCAAGGTCCATGTGAGGGTGCACGCGCCCTTCTCTGTGTCCCTGCCCTGCAGGGTCCATGCCCCCCTGAACCTGGGCATCCGAACGAGGCTGCCAGGCCAGAGGCATGGGAGGGCCAAGGGCGAGGTGGGTGTACCTCAGAGGGAAATTTTGGAGGAGCAGAAGCCCCAGATGTCTCAGAGACCTGAGCCTACAAGGAGAAGGGAGGTGTCACCGAGCAGGAGTGAGCTCGGGCCAGGGGGTAAGTGAGGGGCTGCTCCTGGCCTCTTGGACTTGTGCCCCACCTCTGGGGCTGGCACCTCGTCCTGGCAGCCTGGCCAGACATGGGACTGCTTCTCATGATGCATGAGGACATTCTCTTCTCTTGCTTCATAAATCTGTGTGCTGCCTCTCCTGTCCCCACTGGCGCCATTCACTTCCTTTCTGGGTCTGAGGGGTAGGCACAGGCTGACGCCAATCCTTGCTCTCTGCTGAGAACAGGGCGGCTCCCCGCCTCCCCTGGGCCTGCCTCTCTTTCACCTCTGCCCTCTGCCTCTGTCCTTTGGTGCCAGCAGCAGCTGCTCCCCTTTGTTCCCTTCTCTCCTGTTCTTTCCTGTTCTTTTCCTGTTCTTCTGGTGGGGCCAGAGTTCTCTTCCAGTTTCCCTTCTTCTGGGCCACCTGGGCCCTGTCTTCTGTCCCTGGGGGGACTGCCTCTTCCCAGGGCTGCCTCTTCCGCCAGCCCCCCTCCCTGACTGCCCTCGAGTGTCTGGCCATAGCTCCTAAGCCCTTGCTGTCCCTGCAGTGGTCCCCAGCGCGGCGACTCTCATCATCGTGGTGTGTGTGGGCTTCCTGGTGCTCATGGTCATCCTGGGCCTGGTGCGCATCCACTCCCTTCACCGCCGCGTGGCGGGGGCCGGCGGGCCCCCAGGGGTGTCCAGCGACCCCAAGGACCCTGACCTCTTCTGGGATGACTCCGCTCTCACCATTATTGTGAACCCCATGGAGGTGAGTGGCTCTGGTGCACGTGGAGGTCTGAAGAGTCAAGAACTCAGCGGGAGCAGACATAGCAGACTCCTAACTTGTGAACGGGGCCTGGATAGAAAGTTCTAGACAGAGCAGCCAAAGCAGGGAGGAGAAAGCTGGGGGCCTGAGGATGGGAGGTGGGGAGGAGCAAGAGCATTGAGGGAGGTGAGCCTCCCAAAGGAGAGGCCCTGGGGGTCTGGGGGCGTGTGGGTTCCTAAGTCCTCTCTTCCACCTTCTCCAGTCCTACCAGAATCGGCAGGCTGGTGCGTCGGGGGTCACCGGGGGCCAGCAAGAGGATGAAGACAGCAGTGACTCCGAGGCTGCCGACTCGCCCAGCAGTGACGAGAGACGCATCATCGAGACCCCCCCACACCGCTATTAAGGCCTAGGCCCCTCCTCAGACAGAGGGCAAATTCTGCCCTGCTGGGACAGAGACACCCCCAGAGAGAAAGAGAAGGACATTCTGAGAGAAGAGAGACCAAGGTGGAGAGAGCTCTTCAGAGTTATCCTTTCACCTGAAATCCCAGAGGGCCCCCACTCGTCCCCCACCCCCACCCCCACCCCCACTCTCCCCTCACCAGCGCCCCCACCCCGGGCCTCCGTGCCTGCCGGCCTTTACTCCCCTGTGTGGAAGATTCTGGCTGCCTCTTCTGCCCACAATGTCGGCTGCCCCTGTCACTCACCATGTCTCTCTCTTCCCCCACCAGCCCTGAGCTGTGTTGTGGGCGGAGTTGTCAGTAGCCAGGGCAGCCCCCTGGATGGCAGCGAAGGAAGCCCTCCTCTCCCCTTCCTGCCCCCTGCCCCTCTGGGCCTCTGTCCCACCTACTCCTGACAATCCGCCGCCACCTCTGTTTCCATCTCACTCTGGGTATCCCTGCTTCCTCACCGTCCCCACTTTCTTCCCTTTTGTCCTCTGTCCCTTCTAACCCTTATCTGGGGTCCTGTAGCCCTTGCCCCTTCCTACATGCCCTGGAGGTGGCTAGGTTGTGGGGATGGGCGCAGGAGTGGGTATTATATATAATGTATATTTTTTCATGTTGTCGTGAGCGCAGCCCCTGTGTTCTGTGTGCAGCTCACAGCCTTGTGTGTGCGTGTGGCATTGTCATGTCCGGGGGTGGGGGTGGGGATGGGTGTGGTGAGGGGGGGACACACCCTAGGGTTTTGAAATAAAACAACCAGAAAAAAGCTCCTTGAGCTGTCTCCTGCCTGGTCCTGTGTGGGCACCCTATGGAAGGCAGGCCCTTGGATCTGAGGGCCCATTTGCAGTCTCCAACAGGACTGAGGTGAGGGGAGCAGGGCCGAGGTGAGAGGTCAGGGCTGAAGTGAGAGCAGGGCTGAGGTGAGGGGAGCAGGGCTGAGGTGAGGGGTCAGGGCTGAGGTGAGGGGAGCAGGGCTGAGGTGAGGGGTCAGGGCTGAGGTGAGGG